ACTCATGGCCTGTAATCATATCTGGCCTGCAGTCACTCAGCCAAGGTGAGCCCTTCCCTGGGCACAGATAAGGCTCTGCTTGTGCCAGGCTGGGTGTTCCGAGGGACACGGTGCTCCCGGCACACACCAACACACAGCTCTGGGCGAGTGGCAGCACCCAGAAGGATGGGGAAGGCAAATATTTTCTGTGCCCTCATGTCCCTCCCAATGGGGAATTGCAAAGCAAACTTGGTTGTTATTAATAAATTGCTTTGAGGCCCCTGGGCGAGGCAGGCAGGACCCTGTCACTGCCCAGGTGACAGGGACTCGTCTGCAGGGACGGCTGTCCCGGCTCCGGGCCCGTGTCCTTCCAGAAGAGCCCTGGGATTGTGGTGTGGGGACATCTGGGCCGCAGATGTGACAGCACTGGGGGCTCGCTGGGCACAGCAAACGGTTCTGCAGCAGGGCAGAATTTGGGATGTGACATCTGGCAGCCCGTGGGTGATCCCAGGAATGCAGCAGGTCTGGAGCTCCCCTCCAGCAGTGTGAGTGAAGCAGGAGCTGGGGAGGGGAAATTGCTCTGAGACAAACTCACCAGCGGATGGAGAAAGACCGGGATACAAATGAGCAGTCCTGGCACGGATCAGGAGCACAGGGAGAGGAATGGCAGTCGTGGCTTGGTCTGGATCTGGCCATGGCTCCAATGGGACCTTCACGATGTAATGACAGCCCAGGGAACCTGAGATGGAGCTGCAAACTCCTGAACACTTAAAGGAGGTTGATCATGAAATAGTTTATAGCTTATGAGGAGGTTGTAAGGCAGCCAGGGCCTGGATAATGGGGGATTTTAATTACTTGATATTGATGGACATAATAAGTGTGCAGCAAACCACTAAGGGAAACCTGTGGCTGGAGGGGAGAGCGAGATTGATCTATGCACAGCATGTTAAATCACTTAAATCATTCAGAGCCTCTTCTGGCCCCAGCTCCAGGAGCAGAGCCAAGTATGATAAATAAGGTCGGGGTTGGGAAGTGTCTAGAATCCAAATGTTTGTATTCCTGTTCAATTTCCAATATTCTCGGGGACAAAAGCAGCAAAGCAGAGCCTGCCCGGGGGCTGTGGGAATCCCTGCGGAGGGGGCTGGCAGCAGGAAAGGGCTTCCACCGCTGGGGGCAGCTGGGGAACTTTCACACAGGGAAAGGTGGCCTGGGGAAAGGGAAAGGTGAAAGGGGAAGGTGACCTGGGTGAGACCCGGGCACGGCGAGGAGGGAACCAGAGGCCAAAGCGACGGAGAAGGATGGAAAGTCTGAGCAAACAGCGTGGGTGGGATGACGGCTGCAGTCTGAGCACGGCCTGTGGGGCAGGGCTGGCCACCTCCTGTGGGCAGCTCCAGGGCTGGTGGGGCTTGGTGAGGTTTGGTGACACCGAAGGTGTGCCCAGGTGAGGTCTCCTCCTGCCACCTTGGCCGGGCACCAGGCTTCCTTCTCCATCACATGGGTCCAACCATCAGATACCACGGGGGAAATCTCTGCTTGACACAACAGGACAACAAGGAGTCAGGAGGGAGATGGACACCCCAACGTGTGGCTGGGAGGGCTGTGCTGGGCCTGCAGCTGCAGCTCCACGATGGAAACGTGTCCGGCAGCGCCGCAGGGGCAGGGCCGCGGCTCCAGCGATAAGGAGGGAGGTTCTGTGTGGGTGGCACACAGAGGTTTCTGTTGGGGCTGGAGCTGCTGCTTGGGGTGTGGCTGGGAGCTGTGACACCCCTCCTGGTTTTCCATCCCCTCCCTGGCACACGTCAGTCCCAGCTGACCCCATGGATCCTGCCGGGCTTGGTGAGATGGTTCAAAATCTCGTTCTCACTCGTGCACAGAGCCTGGGCAGTCTGAGCATCCCAACCTCACTGCAGAGATGTGCCTCTGGGAGCTCAGCACCTCTGAGAGAGGGAGAGGGCTCTGCTCTTTTGCTGCTTTTCCTTTGTTGAGATAACATTAATTTTATTACAGAGCTGCAGGAATGGGCTTAACTCTGCCTGTCCCAGTGTGTGGGGTCTCAGGTGTCCCCCGGGCTCAGGTTGTCCCACCCGGGGTCTGGCTGAGAGATCAGCCAAGCCTTAATGTTGCTGCTCAGTAAAGATGATAGGTAGCTGTGGCTGGGCTCGTCCCACACGTCCCAGGCTCTCCCAGTGCCTGGGAAACAAACCCTTTGGGGCAGAGCAGCCCATGGCAGTACAGCTCCCACTGGTGGGATGTGGCACCGATGCCAAGCACGTGCTTCTCCTCAAACACATCGTGCCATTTTTAGGCACAGGCATAAATTATTTAAATGCCACGTGCTTCCAGTCAGAACGCACCTGAGACCTCAGGCGTCTGCCTCTTGTGATCAGTGTTAGACAGCAGTGGTTTGAAAACAGAGGGAAATCAAAGTGCTCATGGAGCAGCTGTCCCAGCCTGCCAGGAGAGCACATGGGAAAGGGCTGGGCCTCACTGTGCAGCAATGTTTGGGTACTGCCAGAGTGGCAGGATCCTCCCTGAGTCTGATTCTAAAGGAGCTGCAGCTGATTAATCGTGAGCTGGCTCCAAGTGAGCATTTGGTAACAGGAACTCAGAGGTGGGGAGCCCTTGCAGTGTAGTTTGCTGACATGGGGATGCAGTGGGCTGACTCTTTCTCTGCAGTTTCTTAGGCACCTTCTTTGTCCCCCAAAAGTGTTGTACATGAGTGTGCCCTTCAGTGCAGGGAACCCCTTTGGTTCTCCAGAGCCCTCAGACACCTCTGATTTCTCAGTTCCCATTCTCTCTTCTGAGGTGACACAATTCCACCCTCCTTGCTCCTGAGGATCCGCTCCTGGATCCCCCTGGCACAGGGCAGGGGCAGCCTGGGCAGGGAAGGGAGTTTGCAGCAGGAAGAAAATCCACCTGTGGTGGGTCCTGTGGCTTTTCCTGGCATCAGCATCGCTGCTGCCCAGCAGGATTTGTGCATTCACAGCAGAGTGGAGCCCCTGCCCTGCCCTCCTGCAGTGCCAGCCTGCCCCAGCTCCCTCCAGTCCTGGCTGCATTTCTCACTTAGCTGGAGTGATTTTTCCCCCGCTCCAAGTTTGCTGTTTTCCTGAAATGGTCTGAAATGTAATAGACCAAGACAATCATCAGGATGAAATATTTCCTACATGAAATATGCAGCAGCTATTCAGAAATGAAGATCAAGTGGAAGGAGGGCTGCCAGGCAAAGATTTAAAGGTGCTGACATGTTCCCGTGGGTTGTTTACTGAAATCATCTCTGAAGCCCCAGTTTTAGGGCTGCATTTCAAAAAAGGGCACAAAATACAATTTAGCAAGACCTTTAATAATTCAAGCTGCAGCGTGTTGAGCTTCTTGTTGCCCTTATGGGAACGATGCCTCATTTCAAAGGACCTTGACTCTCTGCTGGTAGTGCAGAAGGGGCACTGCCAGGGCTATTTTTGCACCAAGACACTGATTGGGTGTGAAACCTGTCTCTGGTGGCCGTGCCAGCAAAACCTGGGCAGGCAAAATGGAGCCATATGGCCTGATTTCCCTAAAGATGTGGATTCCAAGGAATTTGGGCGTGCTCTCTTGCTATAAAAGGGCAACTTGGCACCTGGCTCTATAAAAGAAAGGTGTAGTCCTGCTCTTGGCGCCAGGCTCTG